CTCTGACACTGGACTCTGTGACGGGGTTAATGGGGTCTGTTTTTCTCTCTGGACGTCCCGTCTCTGTTTCACCAGAAGCTGCTCAAGAACCTCCATCTGTGAGAGTTAAAGGTCATTAAAGCCATTAAAACTAAATCAGTCAGAACTTACAGACTGATAGACTTCAAAATTGATTTGATTTGAGTGAAACAGAATATTCAGCAGGAACTGATTTTTTCTTATACATCAGAATTCGATTTGAATATGAAACGTGAGCTACGATAATATTGATAATTTTTTTCATCATCCACACAGCCTTTGTTACATCTTTGTTGCATTTTCTCTAGAATTACTTCAAGAATATTTTTTATATTTAGAACAATGTACACAATAAGACTTTTTTTTATTATTATCAATTTGGAAAAAAAAAATCGCAGTATATTTGTTATTATTGCGCATTATACTACACAATACAATTTTTCTCTTTTTTTCATAATTTTTCCTAATATTTTTTCAAATGTTTCAGTCCGTAATTTTAATCACTTAAATTTAATTTTTTTCAGAGAATAACTATAAATATAGAATAGTAATCAATGACAATAATTTTACTAATTATGTTATGAATTTAATATCTATATATACTATATATAAACTACTGTTCAAAATGTTGGGGTCGGTAAGATTTTTTAAACGTTTTTGAAAGAAGCCTCTTCTGCTCATCAAGGCTGCATTTATTTTATCAAAAATGCAGTAAAGTTGTGAAATATTATTACAATTTAAAATAACTGTTTCCTATTTTAATGTGTTTTAAAGTGTAATTTATTGCTGTGATCAAAGCTGAATTTTCAGCATCATTACTCCAGTCTTCAGCATCACATGATCTTCAGAAATCATTCTAATATACTGATTTGCTGCTCAAGAAACATTTCTCATTATTATCAATGTTGAAAACAGTTGTGCTGCTTCATATTTTTGTGGAAACAGGACTCTTTGATGAATAGAAAGTTCAAAAGAACAGCGTTTATTTAAAACAAAAATCTTTTATAACATTAGAAATGTCTTTACTGTGGCTTTTGATCAGTTTATAATGCATCCCTGCTTAATGAAAGTATTCATTTCTTTTGAAGATAGTGTACTGTGCTCTAACACCTCGCAGAAACACAAAGTTCACGTCCTCCATGTGTTTCTGTACAGTTCCCACGCCTCATATTTACCCCATCCAGAGCTGTAAACTCTGTAAAAACTGTCCGTGATGGAGGACTGAAAGTGACCCCGGGGTTTTTCTCTCACCAGAACTAGATCTGCAGTGCAGTGTCAGAAGAAGCGTTAGATCCGGGTCTGTCATAAGAGAGGCCATGTATCCCAGCGGCCCAGTAAATAGTTTCTTCAGCTTTAACTTTGACAGCTTCGGCTGGTTATGCTGTTCATAAATCAGATCTCTATCAGCGAGCCGCTCTCTGTTTATGAACATGACTCCGTGACCTTTGACCTCTGACATTTATTCAAGCCATTAGTCGTGAGGTGACGACGTGTCTCCGCTCCTCAGATCTTCAGTGACTGATGCTTGGAGCTGAACTCATGCTTAGTGTTAATGGATCTGTAAATGTGCCGTCTCTCTCTCTGGGTGTTCTGTGTCACTTCTGTGTTTCTCTCACTGGTTCTGGTCTAATTCTGACCCATTCAGACTCTCTTTATTAACCCCTAACTAGTGGACAGATGTATTTTTACCAATGAGGGGCTGTAGGTGATGAACGTTGACCTTTCTCATAATTATGTGTGACTGTTCTCTTTATATGTCATTGTGTTAATGAGCACAGATGACACCTAGAAAATCTGCATTTTATTATTAAAAGTTTATAGTTTATTTTAATTCGAATTCATTAAAAAAACATTAAAAATTGGAACAAATTTATTTGTGATCCAGACTGTACAAATATATATATATATATATATGTATGTGTGTGTGTGTATAGTTATATTACAGTACATTACATTATAATAATTGAATTTATTCTTATATAATTATTCCAAGTGATCCAGAAAGTTTAAATAAACTATCATAAAAATATATTCTAGAATTTATTAAACACTAGAAGTCCTTAATTTTAATTTTAATTAATTGTATCTTAATTTTTAGTCATTTTGTTTTATAGTTAAAAACTTATCTTAAACTTGTCAGTTAATTGCCAAGACAACAATTTCTAATTTTCTTATCTTTTCTTTTTCTTCTTATATGATGATATATATTTTCTTATATTTTCATTTTTAGTTTTTCATCTAATATTTATATTTATAAATTTATATTCATTTGATTTCAAAGAACAAAAATGTTTTTAATAGTTTTGTCTTTAGTTTTTTTTTTAACAATGACAACACCAGTTAAAGGAACAGAAATATTGTTAATGATATTTTCCACTTTTTTATGAACATGTTAGCTAGCAGTCTGTTAGTCCCTTCACTGACACACCTTCTCCATCCTGCCAGCTCTAATCTGATTGGCTGACTTTGTGCAATTTCCTGAAATAAAAGCATGATTAGTCCAGTGGGAAATGAAGTGGTGTGAACAAGACACAGCAAATGCTTTTGAGAATCACATAACCTGCAGATTGTCAGGCTATAGCGGCTTCAAACCTCTCAAATTCAGAAGAAAAGCAGCACTGAAATAGCAACATATTACAGATTTGAAGTACTTTCACTAATTGATATAATTATAGGGAATTTTTAAAGTCAAGTATGTTTTAAGAGAACATGCTGTGTGTTTATGTGATCATTTTGCCATCTGCTGTTGTGAGCGGCGGCTGCAGTTTCATCTTCCCCCGCAGAGTCCATGAAATCAAGTGTTAGAGACACAATGACGGGCGGACAACAAGCCCAAACATGAACACACACACACACACACACGTCTCGTATGGTCTGTCTGCAGAGTGCAGAATCTGTTTGATGTTCATCAGTCTGGCTTCATTGTTCTGTGTGTGTGAAAGTAAAGCATGTTCAGAGAGTTCAAACCCTTTAGGGAAACATTTCATTTATTCAGAGCTGTGACGGTACCACTCGTTCATACTAGGGTTATTATTATTATAGTAAACTAAAGCTAAAAAAAAAAAAAAAAATGAAATAAAATAACTAATAACCAAAATAAACTTTAACTGAAATAAAATTAAAATAAAAAATCTATTTTATTTCAGCTAGTTGCCAAGTTTTACTTTAACGCAATGTACTAAAGTAACTACAACTAAAACTTAAAATAAAAATTAAAAACTGTATACACATATTTAAAAACATAATAAATGACAAACACAGCAATATTACTAAAACTTAAAGAAAAGTTCAAATGAAATTGAAAAATAGTAATAGCCATTAGTAAAAGTATAATAATATATTCAGTGATACTAACTTTTTTTTGGTAATTTTGTGATGTGCTCTTGTCATTTTTATTCCGTTTTTAAATAGTTCGAAATAGTTCTAATTTGTTCTTTTCAGTTCATTTTTCACTTTATTTTCTTTCAGTTATTTGTAGATTTTCAGTTAATTTCGGTTTTATTTTTAGTTCAGTTAGTAATTTTATTCATTTGTAATTTTCTTTATGCTTAAGTTTTTGTCATCTAATATAAATATTTATTTTTATTTCAATGTATGATTTCATTGATTTTGCTTAGTTTTAGCTAAAGTTTTCGTTTTAGTTAGCGATAGCTACACAGTTTAACGTGATATACTAAAATAACAACTAAAACTGAAATAAAAAATTAAAAACCTGATAAAATGACAATTACTAAAACTTCAAGAAAAATTGAGATGAAATTCAGAAATAGAAAAATAACAATTAATTCAAACTGTAAGAACTATAATAGTATTTCAATTATACTAATTTGTTTTACAAATTTTATGTGCTTTTGTCATTCTTTTGATTTTTTTTTTCTAAATAGCTATTTTTTTTTTATTTTAGTTATATTTTTCAGAACCAATAATTCAGACTTTTCAACTCAATACTAAAATAACACTGGTCCATACTTGAACCAGAATTTGCTGGCAACATTGTGCAGGGCTGTACGTTAACTTTTTGTGCACATAGCACTGGTGCTACAGAGGTTGAAAGTTTTGTAGCATCGCACACCCCTAAACCAAGTATAATCAATCTCACACACACAAACAAGCACAACGAAATCACTTCACACTATTAAGCGGCTGTGTAATGAACATGCAAAACTGTATCGCACGTGTGCTACAGTGGTAAATTTATTCATCGCACAAACCAGTTTTTTCATAGCACGTACAGCCCTGTTGTGTCTTGAAATGACAAATTCTCCAGTTGATAACATTCGGGAACATCTTCAATTGGAGCAATGATATCTAAGTGAAGCAAGCACTGATTTTTTTGTCAGTCATTAGAAGTCAGTAGAAGTCTATAGTGTGTGTGTGTGTGTGTGTGTGTGTGTGTGTGTGTGTGTGTGTGTGTGTGCTGAGATCTCACCTGACGTGTCATGTGATTCCAGACTGCTCGTCAGATGTGGCTCTGCAGGTGATGACATCACGTTGCCAGGGGAAACGCTCCTGTGTGGTCCGCGCCTCGACACAAGAGTTCGGTGACCCCTGTTACCGCGGCACCCGCAAATACCTTAGCATCATACACACCTGCGGTGAGTTACACACCTCAACACATCATCCTCACACACCTTCAGTGACTACACTACACTGAGCAACGGCTCAAACCATGTCTGAGCACTCATAATTAAAAATAAAATATAAAGGTGTTATTATAAAGCGATGGAGATATTTTTGATTGCTTAACTGATTTGGCATTAGAACAAAAATACTTAAAATGTATAATATATAAATTTAAAATGTATAATATAATATTTACCAACAAATTTGTTTTTTATGAATTA